ATACCAGTCGTGAATTTAGCCCTCCGTGGAGGTGTAGAAGGTTCGCCTTCCATATTGACCTTCTACGGTCCCTGCCAGCTAAGGGGTTGTGATTGACTGCGATCCAGACTGTCGTGAGTTTTGGTCAACGGAAAATCAGGCAAAAACCAGGACTAACTTGCGGGAAGATAAATCAACCAGAGTAGATGTCTAGGGCCTCATAAGCATTGACGTCCTATTCTGCCTCGATGCTGTATGCGATCAAGTTCTGTATGACGGCACTGCTGCAAGACGCCGCGTTGACCATGGTCAACAACTGCAAAGCATCAGCACAGCGACCGGCGCCAACCTCCTCTGCTTTCTACTACGACCAAACTCAAATGTTTTCCTCATAATAAAGACTTCTGAACTATGGCGACAATGGACCCAACTCTAGGCGCCATCGTTCAGGTCCAGCTGGGTCGCGGTGTCGTGAGGTTTGTAGGCGCTACCTCCTTTCAGGTCGGGAAATGGGTTGGCATCGAGCTCGACGAGGCCAACGGCAAGAACGATGGCAGCGTCCAGGGAATCCCATACTTTACTTGTGAACCCAACCATGGCGTCTTTGTCCGTCCAAGTCAGATCAAGGCAGTTTCTGGGCTCAGAACGGGTGGCTACCGACCCGCCCTCCGTGACATCGTCCGTGCAAGTGAGTGGAACTGGTGTCAAGATTTAGAGCAATCGACTGATGGCCACAGCGACCACCTCCAACGCCAACGACGGCTACACGACCAGGGCACCAGCGAGGCTCAAGCAACTCTGGCGCAGCGCTGCTTCGAGCCACTTCGATACGAACCCAAGCAGCGCGACAAGACACGCCGCCACTCTCAGCCTCGGGTGCTTCGACGCGATCGGCAAGCCCAGCAACACGGGCACCTGGTGCTGGTGCAAGGACCAACATGGGTCCTCCACCAGTACCATCTCCAACGAAACGTTCGTCCATGCTGCCTCCCCAGACCCCAAAGGGCCCGACAGCAGCTCCGAGAAAGTCTCTCTTGATGCGACAGCCCTCGGCAGAAACACCTGCAGCACGGTCAAGAGTTGCTAGTATCTCTGTGCAGCAACAGATTGCTACGCCTCCCAGTATAAGCACCGCGAGACGACCATCTTCACCTCTGGCCCAACCTCCTGAAGTGGCCTCTCCTCGTTCAATATCGGCCCAGCTAGAGCAGCGACCACCCACGAGACCTTCTTCTCCCGACTCTGTACGTGGTGATTCTTGTCTTTTGCTTTTCTATATTAATTCCGATCCTAGCCACCACCTCCAGCACCGCCAGATGATACCGAACTGCAAGAACTGCGTGCCAAGATCCGCGTACTGGAAACCAGACGTGCTGACGATGCGCGACATGTTCGCGAGCTCGAAACCAAACTCAAGGAGGCAGATGCTTTCATCACCATGCGTCCCAAGCTTCAAGCCAAGCTCATGTCGCAACAAACAGAGCTGACGACGACGAAACGCGAGTTGGCGGATGCGAAGCAGTTGGCAGAGTTGGCTGAGAATCGGATCGCGGATGCACATGAGCAGCTGGAGATGGCCACTTTGGATAAGGAAGTGGCTGAGGAGAGGGCAGAGTTGGCAGAGGCTGAACTTGAGGAACTCAAGGAGAAGCTCGCGGTCATGGAGGTCGAGAATACGGCCTTGCAAGGAGATGATAGTGAGTGGGCCCACTTCATATAAGCAGTCGATGAGGCTAAACCTATGCAAGGTGGGACAGCTGATACACCGGCACGCGATTCATTGGCGTTCATTCAACTGGAGAAGCAGAACGAGCGGCTAAAGGAGGCTTTGATCCGACTTCGCGATGTTACACAAGATACGGAACAGGAGCAGCGCAGGAGGATCTCGGATATGGAGAAGGATGTTGCCATTCTCGACGAAATACAATCGCAATACGAAGAGGCTTTGATCAAGTTATCCAACGCAGAGTCTGAGATTGAGAGTTTGAAGGAGCAAGTCGACGATGCTCTTGGGGCCGAAGATCTGCTTGTGCAGCTTACAGAGCGTAATCTGGAATTGGGCGAGGTGCGACTCTTTCTGTCGACTAATCCTTGCACGATCCTAACCTGAAGTTGCCAGAAAATCGAAGAGATGCGCATCACCATCGAGGACCTCGAATCTCTCAAAGAGCTCAACGACGAACTCGAAGAAAACCACATTGAGACAGAGAAACAGCTCAACGACGACCTCGAAGCCAGAGACATGCAAATCCAAGAAAGTGCTCGCAAGATCACCAACTTGGAAGAGAACCTGCCAAGACTACGAGATCACCATCTCCAAGTTCCGAGAGCTTGTGTTGCAGCTTCAAGGAGACCTCGAGCAACTCCGCGCGCAGACTCAGACCGCGCAGAGTGAATCGGCAACGGCAGCCTCGCAGACTGCGGCGATCATGTCGCTGAACCTCAAGTTGCAGTCTACTGCTTCGAAGAACCAGGCAAAGAACGTTGAGCTTGAGATCAAAGATTTGGAGTCTAGAGAGGCTAGGGAGTTGTTGGGCATTGTCCAGGTATGTAACGGACTGTGGTATTCGTCTGGGGTGTACGACTGACACACCGCCAGCCCTACCTCCCGCAGGTCTACGTCGAGTCGGACATGGATGCTACCAACTGTTACCTTTTCTTCCAACGACTTGGTTGCAAAGCTGATCTCATTAACAATATCGTCGCTCAAGCCCACAATCTCCCTGAAGCGTTGAATGGCGCCGTCAGTGAGGCTTTGGTTGGTCTTTGTGAGGTGCGTACATAGTCCCGTTTGTCGCTCATATCTCTTATATCTAATGCAGATGAGGAGTCGTATCTCGGGCTTGTCGACCCTTTGCAAGCGATTCGCTGCCATTCTTCGCGGGAGCGATGTCGAGACGTTCCTCAACATTGGACGCATTTACCCTGAAATTGCGCCTCTGGAGAAGAGGATCGATATGCACATCGAACTTCTCCGCAGAGACGAGTTCAGAGATATGGAATGCGTTAGCGACGTGATGAAGTGCGTCCCAATTCTCTCACTCTGCATATCACAGGCGCTAAACGAACAATAGGATTCAAGCCCAATTCGATCATTTGGCGGAGACTTACTTTGGTGTCTCGGACCGTGACCCTCGCTGAGCGCGAACTTGGCTATGTCCTGGTTCTTGATCATGACCTTGACATGTTTGCCGCCTCACTAGGTTTGACCAAGACATCCATTGCCACGATCACGGAGGACGATGGTGTGTGACTCAGTCTCTCCGTACCCCCTTCTCCTTCTCAACTTCTCATTGCATAGACTCTGTACTTGAGCTGGCAGGCTACGACATCAAAGAGGCCTTTTTCGAGCCTCTTCAGAATGTCCTCGACCAGTACAAGAGTGCCAAGGCTCTCTCAAGGAAGTTGAACAAGAGGATTGAACCTTGCAACAAGATTCATCAGCGGTCAAGGCACATCTTCTTCCTCAAATGAAGGGTCTTACCGACCATGTTGCTGAACTGGTCAACTTTGGAATCTCTGTCAGTATGGATGTCGTGTTCTTCAGAACGCGGTCTTATACTCTTTTCCATAGCTCGCGCAACAAGTCATGCCTCACCTGAGCGACGCCCGGGCAGCCAAGTCTCCCTTCCAGCTCAAGACAGTGCTCGACTTTGTCAAGGAAACAGCTACGTCGACAGTTGCCAAAGATCTGAAACCCGGAGCGTCTGTTTGGGAAGCCCTCTCGAGTTATATCGGACAGCTGATGGAGGAGGGGAACAAACTCCTTCCTCTCATCCTAGAACAGGAGAATGTTCAGAAGAGTAAGCCCATCTCCCCGTCTTTTCCTTGCCCTGCTCATTGTCACACAGTTACGGGAACCGCCCCTTGGATTACCCGAGTCGCCGAAATCAAGAATGCTCTCGCCGTCAATGTCGAAGCCGAGCGCAAGGTGACACAGCTTAACGAAGAGATCCAGGGTCTTGCCCGCAATATTCGGACCAAAGACCAGGTCATCCAGGAATCGGCTGTCAAGATCGAGTTCATGGAACGGAAGATGGAGGCAGCTAAGAAGCAAGCTGATGCTATATCTGATTTGGAGAACGAGCTGGCGAAGATTAAGAAGCAGGAGCGAGCATATGAAGATGCTGTTGAGCAACTGCAGAAAGAGCTCTTCACCGCAGAGCAAGAGAATGCTAAACTTAAGACAATGACTGCCGGCCATGAGAAACAACGTAAGCAGTCCCATTGGGACCCTTCAACCATATCTTACTTTCCTCTAGCGAGCGGTCCTCAAGTTATGGAGCTACAAGAAGCTGTCCCCCTGGAGGGCAATTTCGAAACGCCTTATCTTCTCGACCAGGTAAGCAACTTCACCTTCGTTCAAGTATATCTATGTTAATGAACTATTTAGATTGAGGCTCTGAGGGGCACTATCAGATACTTGCGAAACGAAAACAACTTCCTCAAAGGACAGGACCTCCTTCGTGAAATTGAAGCCCTTGCACCTCTCCCGAGATCTCTTGCTCGAACACCGACACCCCCTCTGGTTGCGTCTGGTAACTCGGACACAGAGGACTCGGACTTGGACGATCTGCCTACCCCTCCTTCTCTTCGATCTCTTGCAACAGAAACCAAGCTCCTCTACCGGGATGTCATCAAGTTCTCCTCTTCGCCACGGGTTATCGATCTGTCTGAGCTCAATGCGAAGCGTGTGGAAGCCAAGTCGACAAAGGTCTGGCTGCCCAAGAAGAAGACACCTGCTCAGCAGCTTTTGGAGAGGAAGATGGAGGGTGAGCAACTGAGTCGACGAGTTCGTGGGCTGGTGCAGAGATCCAATTTATTGGCGGCCATTTAATTTTAACTGGAGCTGTATCAGAATCGCTATATACCGTACTTTCACTTATGCTAGACTACACGTCTAATCTATGTTCCCTTGCGGCTAGACTCTGCCAACCTTCGCAATCTAGAACCCCTCATTTGAACGCTGAACGGTTAAACTTGATTTACCGTATCACCACTATTGTCAACTTCCATTCCAATCGGATATGGTGTAACGGCTAACATTGCCGCCTCTCATTCCAGTAATCTGTTCGCGGCAGCTCGGGGTTCGATTCCCCGTATCCGAACTTTTTATTTCTTCAGGAAATAGTGCACCATGTAACTTTTCTCGCCTCGAAAGCCCTCACTGCTCAGCCGTTCTACGTTTTGTTTCAAATGAAAGATTCTCTTCTGTATTAAGGAGTAATAGGTACAAGGTCATGTGCATCGATTGCATTAACCTGCAAGGCAGCCTTCGTCCAGTGCTCATTGCCAGCAATGAAATCGCTGCGAACGATTTTGGCTCTGTGCACCACTGCCAAGTCGGTTTCAACTTTGAGATACACTCCTTCAACCCGGCCCTCGTAATACGTCGACTTCCTCTGCACCATCTCTTTCAGCTCACTCTCCCCAGGCAAGACACCTTCATGTAGTAGCGGCACCACAGAAATGGATGTGTCCGCCAACAAGCCTCGCAGAGCCTTCGTCGATATAAATGCCCCAGTCTGCCGGTCATACAAGTCGAAAGCCATGAAGTAGTCAGGCAGTCGGCTGTACGCAATGGAGTGGGTAGCGTACAACCATTCGCCAAAGAGGATGTACCGCTCAGGAAAGTATGGGTCGCGATCCAGGAGCTTCAAAAGCTCTTGCCTATGCTTATCGACCCATGCCCCTAGTTTCTTGAATTGGTCGTGTGAAGTCGGGTTGACATAATGCGAACGGTTTTGAACCAAGATTTGCTTGTCTGCAGAGAGCGAGAAACCCATGTTGGCTCCATCTACCTTCTCCGTCACAACCACTCGAGTGTTCCCTTTTGTCGTATCAATCGCCAGTTGAACATGTTCGTCGTCGTCTGTGGCAGCCCCGAGGTTGATCAGATGGGGTGTCCGAGGAAACTTGAAGATTCCAACGGAAGGCGAGAGATGACGGACCAGTTCCTGAGCCGCCTGGAAGGAACGAATGATTGCGACGGCCTTGAAACCCTCTGAAGTCGTCGGCCTAGCGAACATCTTCTCCATCCCTGCCACAGCATTGCGAACTCTGTTCCCAGGCTTGAGAGTGGGATGGCCGACTCTCCTTTGGGCACGCGAAAGGCAGAGCTCCTTGTCATAATCAAACCATACGCAGACTGGGTTCGTCACCCAATTCGACGCAAGGCTCAACCACGATTTTCGATCTTCCACTGCCATATTACATCGATCCAACAACACCCTCTTTCCCTTCGCCACTCTCCCAATCTCTGTTTCGAGTAGCGCCCGACTCCCACTTTCATCTTGGGATATATGCTGCCACCGTTTTGGATCCCTGGCAAGAAGGGATTTGGAGACCCATGTTTTACCCGAGCCAGGAAGGCCCACTAACAAGAACAAGTCTCCATCCTTCAGATCTTGAAGCGAACCTTCCACAGCCAACGGGCATGGAGGCGCCTCGGAGGGTACTTCTGGAAAGATGCACTGTCTCTTCCATATCGCGCTGGCCCACTCAGAGACAAATTTCTCTTGCCGTTCGGTTTCCAAGCTTCCAGGCCTCAGCGACCTCAGGGTTGCAATGGCATCCGCTGCTGAGTACTCCGGTTGATTTTGCTCATACGATGGCGGACATTTGAACCCGGATGCGACGATGTAGGAGGCAGCTACCGTTCCTGCTCGCCCTTTTCCTCCACCGCAATGCACAAGAAGAGGGAGGTTATCGTCTTCCATGAACATCCGCATGACCAAGTCCATCTGTTCAATGGATGGAGGATGGAAATTGGTGACTGGCATGAATGTGTTGGATATGGTTCGACCTTCGAACCATTCCCGCCGCAAGGGCTCTTCTTCTGTCAGCGTTAGGACGCGACGAATGCCGAGATACGATGAAGCCAGTGCCATGATATCCTCTTCGCGTCTCGGAGTCGACATAATGGCAAACCGGAAAGGGATCAACCACCTAAACCACCGGGGTAACCTGTAGAAAAGGGAAAGATCAAGCGCCCCTCGCGGCAGCGTCTTCGACTTTGGGATGTACAGCGGATGTCGTGCCTGCAAGCAGCGGGTCGGGAGAACGTTCGCCTCTCCCAAAGCAAAGCAAAGGGTGTTTGACCATGGGACGATGAGGACGGGGCCGAGGTCCTCTGGAATAGTGCTGACTTCGTCTTCCATAAATACGCAACCCCACTCCGTGTTCTCAGAGCAGGTTGCCATTTTCTTGAGGCAGTATCCAGATAGCTTTGGATCTTGCGTTCGTTCGTAGGCAGCCGCGTACGATAGCATCGACAGTTTATAGTAGCCGCCCGCCAATGCTGCATCTGCGAGTCTGAGGAAGCCTTTATGATTTTCCCCAAAAGCGCAAACCATCTGAATGGCATACGACTGTGCCTCGGCATACTGTCCCATGCTATGCAAAGTGAAGCAAAGGTGGTCGAATAGATCCAGAGAAGGCGACAAAGGAGGCAGCTCCGGAAGAAGGGATTTCACTCCTTTGTCCATTTCGTGCTCGTCCTTGTCCGACAAAGTGATATGGAAATGCTTGGGCGGTAATCCCAGCTGTTTCCGAAGCTGCTGACCTGCAGCCCAGATCACGACAACATAGAAGACCCCGGCTTGTGGGTTGCCGCCAATACCAGCCGCGTGTACATGGCGCGTATCAGGTGCGAGGTCGATTACTTTGTTGTTGGGGATGCACCGTAGTTCGTCTTTGGTGAGAAAAGTGATGTGGTATGCCATGGATCGGTTGGGTTGAAAAGAGGGAAGTGAGAGGTCCGCATCATGTGTGAGGGCAATTTCCAGCGCATCCTGCGCTATTTTGTTGATAGTCCCTCCGACTAATGCGAGGCAGCCCCGGCACTTTGCAAGCGCAATGTCCGCCATTTCGAGTTCGAGTGGTGTGAGTGTGAACAAGGTCTGGATGTTTGGGGCATCTTGGTCAAGCGGCGAGCTTATTTATAGCACGACGAAAGTAAGTTGCGTGAAGACACAGCAAATTCTGATGCTGATGTCTGTCGGCTAGATGTCATCGGCATCGAAGAAGTACAGTACCTCATCGTGAGCATGTCGGCACCGCACTGATTCAAATCAACTCGCAACCGCGGTTGATATCAAATTCTCATCTTATCTTATCGGACTGTCGTTTAGTCCCTTTCCACCATGTCATCCTTGTGCCTCCTCTCTGCAGGATCTAACGCGCAAGGTCAGCTAGGGCACTCTGGAGACGACGATTCGTACTCCTTTCTTCCTTGCCGCTTTCTGGATGCACCCTCTGGGTCCCTACCGCCTGGGACCCAGAGAATCCTGTCTGTTGCAACAGGTGCCAACCATACTATGGTGCTCCTCGAAATAGAGGATCTGATGTCCACGATTGGGCAAAGGAGAGAGGTGTGGGGGTGTGGGGACTCTCGGCAGGGTCAGCTAGGGTTGAAGTACCAAGAGTCATCTCGTGTTCATGGTACGGACGTCTTCCAGAAGCTTGACCTCCCGCTTGAAAGTGAGGGGCTGGGGGAATATGAGCTAGCTTCTATAGCTGCTGGCTGGGAAACTTCGTATCTTGTTCTCCACCCTCCAAGCCCAGGCAAGGCCGATGTTCTCGTCTCCTTTGGATCGAATGACTTTGGTGACTTGGGCGTGGGTTTGCTGCCTGCGAAACAAAGGTCGGGCTCTGTCCGCAAGAAGGAGGTTCATCATGTCACATTCGACCATATCGCCATCGAAGGCAAACCCCTATCGGACTTTGGAGCATTCAATATCTCGTCTGTGGCAGCGAGCCAGCATCACGTTGCTGCCATTCTAGACTTTGGAGAAACGAAAGTTCTCGTTGGATGGGGAGCTGCCAGGCAAGGGCAAATCGGTCCTCCCCCCATTGCGGATGCTACCCGCGGAGGCCAAAAGGGCGACCGCCCTCGCGCTATTCCCCTCGATGTCTCCGATATTCATGATGTGCATGTAGGCTCCCAGCATACCCTAGTCCGGACTTCGTCTGGACGAGCTATTGGGCTGGGTTCAAATCGAAAAGGCCAGCTGGATTTGCCCCGTGTCGACCATGTGGCGGCCGTGGGTTGCACTTGGAACGGCAGCTATGCCCTATTGGGAGACGTGAACGGTCAAACCGAAATTCACGGCGTCGGGAAAAACACTCACGGACAGTTGGGACGCGGTCAAGGCGATAGCGCACCCGCCACACCCCAAATCCAGTTCCCCACTAGTCTGAATGCACGCCTCCGAGCCAGCAAGCTCAGCTGTGGAACAGAACACGTTCTGACTCTGTGGAAGGGGAGAGATGATACGGAAGCGTGGGGATGGGGATGGAACGAACACGGAAATCTTGGATTGGGAGATACTCAAGACGTATACGGACCAACCAAGGTCTGGCCCAATGAGCAGACCAGCGGCCGCGCTGTTGACATTTGGACAGGTTCGGGTACTAGTTGGGTCCTTGTCAATACTGCTTAACGAGAGCATATATGCATATACCAACCTAGTCCGAGTTCGTTAAGCCATAGTCTTCGTGTATTTGCCGAATGGTGCTTTCTCTCAACGTTGCTAACTAGGCGCGATGGGTAAGGGAAATGCGGGCTTTGCATGCCAACTTACTCTGCCAATAAGAATCTAGAGATTTTATTAAGACAAACCGTTGGGCGATGTGGATTCAACTTGCCTGCGTAGCGTCCTTTGCTTCGTTGTAGCGATGGAGCAGCTCAATATGTCTTTTGACGATCGCCTGGGCGTCTCGGTTTCTACGTCTCGTCAAAGGAAGAATCGCCGAATGCATGTATCAACCCACCCAAGCTCTTTTTCGAGGGTCGCTATCTCTGCTTCCAGTACCTCAACTCGCGCTTTCTGCTTCTATAAGCCTTATCAACAAGTTGCCGCCGTTCCCTCGTTCTCGATCATCACCTTGGCTGAAATCGACGCGTGCATGATCAGGCCGGAATTGGGTAGGATACTGAAGGAGGAAAGAACAGAAGCAAAGGATCACCAGTATTTACGTCTTGTCGTGTTGTTTGGTACACTTTGCGGCTGCTGTCTAGCTGTTAGATTTAGGAAGGAGTGCTTCCTATTGGAGACGCCGGTTTTCTCGGGATTTGGTCGTCATCATCAGGCACCCGAGTGACTGC